CTTGGTAAAGTAAATGGATTTCTGCACACCCCCATCACACACACATGTGCCTATTCCCCTGCGATATTGGTCCTACACTGGGCCGTTATTATGGAATCCCTGGCCCTCCAGGGGCTCCCTACACATGATGTTAACAAATCCCAGAATCTCCCCATCTCAAGGGAATTCATCATGCGTCTGCTCAGGACTGAACGCAGCTTTAGTCACTGACCGTGTGGTGAAGAGGGAAAGAGAAAGAGGTGGTGTAGGCGGTCTTCGGTGGAAGGGAGCAAAAGAGAAGTCCTGAAATGGTAATATGAGACTGAACAAGTGGCCAGAAGGGTGGCTAATGGGGCCGTTATGTGAACGAAGACATTTCGAAGATCAGCAGTCAAAGAGGAGACGAACGCAGCTGGTGATTTAGAGGGTGAGTTGTTAGGATGGCGTAGAAGAACGGAAATTCCTCTACATACAAATGGTCAGGCTGTGCATTCAGATGGATGCTGTGCTACAAGGCAAGGCAAAAGCATATCAACATGCCTGCCAGCAGGTGGCACCAATGTGTTATTTGTGATTATGTGTTATTTATGATATTTCTTTCCCTTTCTCTCTCTCTCCCTCCCTCTTTCATTCTTTCTTTCGAAAGAGGAGAGAAAAGGCAGCCAGCCTTGGATGAACTTTTAAGGAGGGGGAACCAAAAGACTCAGAACTATGCCATGGCTATCTACAGTTCCCTCTCGACAGGAGGCTTGTGTGGAAGGACCTCAGAGCGATGGTCAAAGCCCTTTAATACAGAGAGGTGTTTCTGTAAGAAAGCTTTCTACATCTGTAACTTGGACCTAGATGTCATGAATGTGGTTTTACTCTCATCAACTAGGTAGCAGATATGGGGAGGAATATAATAAACCTGGGAGACCAGTGCTTCCAGTTCCAAGGTCGCTGGGCCGTCTGCATGTCTGGGGGTCCTGCAAGAGGGAAGTCCAGCAGCAGGGCTCCCAGCAATGACACAGGGAAATGGGCATGCTTATGTAGGCAGAACAAAGCTGCATGAGAAACTCCCCGAGGAGAAAACTTCAGCAGCGTGAGAGGGTGTAGCTGCAGGTGGTCATGCACCGAAACAGGGTTTGAAGCAGCCTGTCCTCTGACAAAATCATGTAAATAGGGGCCTGAATAAGCAGAAGCTAAAACTGGAAAATAGAGTATTTCGCAACAATTCTTGGAAAGGCAGGTCTCTCTGGGACTACTGGGGAAATTGCTGTACCCACGACAAGACCCTTGGTCACAATCCCAGGATTCTGAAAACCTTTGCAGCCCCTACTCAGCTTCCAAAGTGTGGCCCGAAGAATCTCAAAAGCAATATCAGAATCAATGCCCAGAGTTCATTAGCTACCATTCCAGGCCCAGCATGAGCTCAGCAACATGGAAACACAGAGCAGAAAGAAGACCAGGTCTCTCAACCCTCAGAGCACTGACAACGCGGATCCCTAGCCACCTGCTGGAAGAGCTTGTGAGCACCAGAATACAGGAGAGAGACACTCTCCTGGACAGACAGAATTCCGTCCCCAATCATGCACAGCCTTGGCAACCCCTTTGGCCTACTCAAAGGATTTGGAACACAACTAGCATGCCTGCTTACTTCCAAAATATGTGCCTTCCAACAAGGCATCCATTTTTTTAAAAAATTGTATCAAATAATGATATGTCCCCATTAAAAACTCAAATAACACAGGAGGATGTACAGCAGATAATAGGAGCCCCTGCCCTCCTGTCTCCCACCCCAGCCTCTCCACGCAGAGTCAACCTTTTCATCCTTTTAGCTGCTCACTTCAGTGGTATTCCCACCAAAAATGTATAACCTAGGGCTGGCCCTATGGCCAAGTGGTTAAAGTTCTGCACACTCTGCACTGGGTGGCTCAGGTTCACAGGTTCAGATCCTGGGTGCAGACCTACTCCACTCATCAGCCATGCTGTGGCAGTGTCCCACATCCAAAAAATAGAGAAATATTGGCACAGATGTTAGCTCAGGGCTAATCTTCCTAAAGCAAAAAAAGAAGAGGACTGGCAATGGATGTTAGCTCCGGGCAAATCTTCTTTAGCAAAAAAAAAAAAAAAAAAAAGTATAACCTGAAATCTAATCATGAAGATACACTAGGCACACCCAATTTGAGGGGGAATTTTATAAAATAATTGATGTGTGTTCTTCAAAAATGTCAGTGTCAGGAAAGACAAAGGTTGAGGAATGTTCTACATTGAAGCAAAGTGTGCTTCTAGAAATGCAATATGTGACTCTAGACTGGATCCTGTGTGGAAAAAGAAAATTGCAGTAAAGAACATTATTGAGTCAGTTGGCAAAATTGGAACGTAAATGGTGGATTAGATAAAGAGTCTTTTATTCAGATTTAGAATTCTGTATTGTTTTCACTTTTAGAATGTTGTAGTCAATACAGTGTTTTATTAGATGAAAGTGTTACATTCAGGTTAGAATACTGTATTTAATTCAGTATTAGATATTGTACCTGATTGATACCATATTGTATTAGATAAAAGTATAGTATTCCAATTTAGAATACCGTATTCTATTCAGGTTTAGAATATGGTACTCAGATTTAAATTAAAGTATTGATTCAGATTTTCTGAAGTTGATAACTACTCAGGTTATGTAACAAGATGTCCTTATTCTTAGGAAATACACACAGTATTAAGATATAAAGAGGCAGATACAGCGACTATGGAAAACAGCATGGAAGTTCCTCAAAAAGTTAAAAATAGAACTACCATCTGATCCAGCAACCCCACTTCTGGGCATCCATCTGCAGGAGGTGAAATCACTGTCTTGAGGAGACATCTGCACCCCACGTTCACTGCAGCATTATTCACAACAGCCAAGACAGGGAGACGACCTAAGCGTCCACAGCAGATGAATGGATGAAGAAAAGGTGACGTACACACGTGCGTGCACGTGTACACACACATACACAGGAATATTATTCACTCATAAAAGGAGGAGAAAATCCTGCCATTTGCAACCACCTGGATGGACCTTGAGCGCATTATGCTGAGTTAAATAAGCCAGACAGAGAAAAACAAATGCTGTATGATCTCACTTACCTGTGGAATCTGAAAACATCACACTCACAGAAACGGAGAGCAGATGGTGGTTGCCAGGGGCTGAGGGGTGGGGGAGATGGGGAGATGTTGGTCAAAGGGGACAAACTTTTAGCTATAAGAGGAGTAAGTTATTGGGATCCAAGGTACAGCACGGTGACTCCAGTTACCAATACCGTGCTGTAACACTTGAAAGTTGCTATGAGAACAGAGCTTTAATATTCTCACCACAACAACAACAACAAAATGGTAATTCCGTGAGGTGAAGGATGTGTTAACTAACCTTATTGTGGTAACATTTCAAGACATATACGTTTATCAAATCACCACTTTGTACACCTTAAACGTACACAGTGGTTTATGTCTCAATAAGGCTGGGAAAAAAAGATAAAGGAGCAGATTATGTAAGCAACTTCCTTGCAAATGGTTCAGAAAAATATAGAAATATATAAAATATATTTATAAAATTATAAAATATATAGAAATGTATAATGTGTAGATAGACATAAAGAAACGAGGTGCTCTGGCTTGATGAACCTAGCTGAAAAAATTGCAAACAAAATAAAATGATTGTTTCAAGCCACAAATTTGGGATAACCAAAGCATCTTCTAAACTCAAATATCTACAAGCTTTATAGTTTTGCCTTTCACATTTATGTCTGATCCACCCAGAAGTGTTTTCCTGTAAAGTGTGAAGTCAAGGTTCAATGTCAATTTCCCCCATATACACAGGTAATTGTCCCAATAACATCAAAAAGTCAACCCTTTCCTTGGTGGCCAACCTCTGTACCCACACGTGTGTGGGATTCCTGCTCTTTATTCTGATGCACTGATCTGTCTGCCTCCTCCAAGCCAAAACTATACAGATGTAATCATCACAGCTTTATCAAAGTATCGATATGTGGTACAGCAGGCCCTCCACCTTGATCTTCGAGGGTGTTTTAGCTTTCCTGACTCTGAGTCTTATAAATGTGAGAATCAGCTTAGCAAGTTGGCTTAATTTCTCTGCAGCCCAGTTTCTCATCTGCTGGAAGAATTGAAAAAGACAATAAATATGGACACAATTTGTAGAGTCCCGGGAACAACAGAGTTTTAGTTTATTGTATTTATATTGCTAAACCTAAGCAAACAATGTTGATCTCCATAGCCTGTTTTTCTGTCAGTTCTGAAACATCTCCTGAATTCGCAAGTGTTTTCCAGGACTGACGGCCGGCTCCTGTTACTGACAGCTGGATGTGCGACCCTGGTTCATATTAGGACTCCTCCCAAATTGGCCTTGCTAAAACTGTAATTTTTTTTAATCTCCTTTTGAACTTTTACAGCCACATTTCAGCTGGCCAACAGTTTTGAAAGCTGGAAATAATTCAGTCCTGCTGTCAGTCTGTGGTCAGATTCCAGTTTGACCTGTTGCATGATTTGAGCAAGGATTTAATAGGACCACGTGGAAAACGCCTGGTCCTTTCCTCTTTATCAAATTGGCCCTTGTGAGAACCAGACCGGAGACGCAGGCAAAGCATGGACTCTTCATCATAAAAAGTTTTCACACCGTACCTTCAAAAGAGTTTTTATCCTCTGTGAACCTAACCCTAAGTTGAGAGAGAGGCATCACTGCTTCATTAATACGAATAATAGCTGTTTTACTTTTACATACTAATTTTACAAAACTTAGAAAATATTTTTAAAAAGTATTCATTTATCCATGATCCAAAGCTAAATGCTACGAACATTTTAAAGGATTGTCATCTGCTTTCTTGTCTTTACGCACAGGTTTCTTTTTTTCTCTTTTAATGTAACACGCGCTAGTCTGCATCCTGCCCGTGGCCGGCCTCTTGCTTGGCTCGTCAGCAATCGCTCGCCTTCTTCCCTTAAAGGAGCCCAATTAGATTTAGATTTAGGGCAACTCTTGGAGGAGGCGGGACCACAGCACGACGCCAGAAGTGAATTTTGATTGGTCTAAGCCAAACAAAGAACGCTGGCCCCTTGCCTGGTGATTGGTTTAGGCCTGAGCGTGACAAGCAGTGCTGATCAATGAGGAGGGAGAGGCGGTCTGCGGGGGCGTCCTGCGCCCTTGCAAGGACGAGCTTGAGGCGGAAAGGCTGAAAATGGCAGACGGGAAGGACGGAAGCTTCCCGGGTTCCCGGTGATGAGCCTGCGCCGCTGACAGACCCCGTGTTCACATTCAAGTCATACGAGACAGTGAACGGTTCTCCTGCATGGGCACAGCTTGTTGAGCTCCTGGGACGGAGCGCCCCCGGCTGACACACCTGCCCCGCTTAGGGGGGTGTCTGCTGTGTTCCTGGAGCTCTTCTTAAACGTTGTTTACAGAGAGCGTTCCAGCCAGTTGTTATTCCAAGATTCACTTGGTGGATCCCAGATTGTTTAATAATGATGATAGTAAGTATTCTTATTTGAGTCTTGATATTAATAGGAATGCCAGTAAGAGTAGTAACAAAAAGTCAGTATTTATTTTGCTCTTTCTCTGCCATGCCAGAAACTGCGTTAAGTACATTACTCGTGTCCTCTCATTTAATCTTCGGGAAAATGAGAGTGTTTCATTATTATCCCCATTTTATGACTGAGAAAACTGAGAGGTCAGAGAGGTTATGTAACTCATCCAAGGTCACACAGCTAGAATGTGACAGAGCTCAGAAACTGTGCATATATATATATCCATAAGTATCTACATATACATTATAAAATATTAAGATGCCGTTTTGAAATAAGTTCTCTTATGTTAAGAAAGCATCTTTCTATTCCTACTTTTTAAGGTTTTTTTTTGAAGAAATAGGCATTTATTGAATACTTTTCAACATCTATTAAGATAAACTCTTTGAGCTGTTAATAAAATGTATAAATAATTTCCTTTCACAAAATTAAATTATCTTTGCATTCCTGGGGACCTTCTGTACTCCAAGATCATTTTCAGTATACCATTGAATTCTAAACATCAGTACTTTATTTAGGACTTTCACATTCCCATTAATGGAGCTAAGTAGAGAGTTTTGTGGGGAGGGGTTGCACTATCTCTGTTGGGTTTTAGAACCGGGGTTATGTTCACATTAGAACCGTTTCCACCCGTGTCCTGTTCGGGACAACTTTACCATACAAATGAAGTCTTCCTTGAAAACCTTCTAGAATTTAGTGGAGCGCCATCTGGGTCTAGAGCCAGTTTATGGTATAATTGTTTTATGACTTTCTTGGTTATTGATCTTTCCTATGTCATGCTTATTCTGGAGTCAATGTTAGTAATACGTATTTTTCCAGAAAATGTATGCATTTGTGGAAGGGTTTTAAAACGTATTAATCTACATTTCAGGTGTGAATAGTATTTTCAGACTCATTTAAAACGGTCTATGTTACTCGCTCTGGTCCCTTTCTCTTTGCCTCTTCCTGTTTTCTCCTTTTTCTTTATAATATTGCATAGAAATTTGTCCAATATTTGTATGTTTTCTATGCAGAACCAGTTAAATTTCTTTATTTCATTTTTGTTCTGCTTTACATATTTGTTTATTTCTACTTGTCTCTTTTTTCCTTTTATTTAGGGGTTTTTCACTCAACAATATTTCAGGAACATCATTCCACATAAATAAATATGCTTTGTTGTTATTTAGTGGCTGCAAACTATTGTATTTTATGAGTGTGATGTATATAAGTTGCACAGGTTACTGGCTCCCTCCTCAAAACTCAACCCTGAATAAACTAAGGCAGAGAGATGGAAGCGAGAACCTGAGAGCCAGCTGGTAGGCAAAGACGGTCCAGAACAAGTGTGGCTGCGTAGCTCTGAGCCTGGTCTGCTGCCTCTAGACAGGACAGATAGAACATGACTTGAGAGTTCTTCACCAGCACCTGCTCTTTCACCGTTCAGGCTCGGGCGGCAGCCATGATCCCTACTGGCCAGAATGAAGAGAAGCAGCTAGGGCTCCTCGTTTTCCGATTCTGCAGTAAGGAACAGGTGACACTTAGTTCTCACAATAGTATGGAACTAGCCTAGGATGATGAAAAAGAGGCCAAACGAAGGGAGCCTCTGTTTTCTCATCTGGAGAAAGGGAGAACAGGCCCAGCCTTACGACGTGCTGATTTCCAGAGGAAGCCTCGAAAGTGCGCTTCCCCGCTTTCCTTCTTTGCTCTGCCTTCTTCATGAACGTCCACATTTCCCCCTCGATGAGATGTAAGCTCTCTCCGGACTCCGAACTCTGGAGGGTGAATTTGACGTGGCTGCTGCCCCATAGACGTTTACAGAGCTACACATGATTAGAGCTGCAGGCTGAAGAATGACAGCCTGAGACGTTCTGAGATTGAAAAGGAGTGAGAGAGGGGAGCCCGTGTCAGGGGCTCAGTGGTGACAGGTGTGTATGTGTGTAACAGAAAGAGTGCCTTGAGAAGCAAACACAGCACACGACATTTATTGTTAAATGAGCAGCAGAGGAAATACAGGGAAGGAAACATGCATGCAGTCCCGGCCACCACAGTGCTGTCAGACGGAAATTTTAAAAGAGCAAGAAGCCTCATCTGCCCTTCAAACACTGTTTCTGCACGCTCAGCAGCTGTTGCAGTGTGGCCCCGTGCTATCCCAGAAGGGAGGGAAGTATGGCTTGCTTTGTTTGAGTTCCATTGTGCAGAGCCTATCAAGTGACACTCAGCAGAACACAAAATTGTTGCCAAACAAGGAAACTGCAATATCCAAAGCTAAGTTCAAGGTAAAGATAATAATTCATTCAATATGTCTCTGCGGGGTCTTCACTATTTATAAAGACATCTGATTCTCTGGGGGTTAAATAACCATAGTTTCAAATTCAGGGTGCGAATCAGACCTAAACTATTAATCTGCACAGTGTGTTGAACCCACTCTCGCATGACGCCAGCGGTAAATAGGCTTTTCGGACTTTAAATCCTCCCTCCTCGAGTTCTACAAACGAGAAGCAAAATTTTACACCAAATTAATTGGTTCAAGTGTGTTTAAGGATTTGTTTCCATTCTAGAGTGAAATAGAATTTTCCCTAAGTCACCTGTTTGTCTTCTTTAAGCAAGTGGCATTGCGTTTTATCCTGACACTATAAGAAGAAAATCCAACTGAGATGATTCATCTTAGACAACTTGAACAATACCAGGGAGGAAGGCACCCATTTCCAGCCTTCGAGGGTGGACCTGTGGGCCTCAGAGAGCCCCCACCCTCCCGGGCAGGAGCCCCTCCAGCGCCTCGGAGTCTGAGCATCCTTGGGAGCTGGCCCCCTGGTATGCTCTCTTGGTCTTCTGCCGGGCGGAGCTGGAGAGGTCAATGGCCACATCTTCCAAGCCGTTCTCAGGGCTGCCTTCGTCTGAGCATTTCTGGGGTCCTGCCTGACTTGGGCTAGAACCTTCCTTGAAGTGGTCAGAGTCCCAGAGTCCTGCCATCTTTTCTCCACTTCCTGGTTTCCTTATCATCCCTATGGATTTTTTATGCATCCCTTGCAAAAAAAGAAAAGAAAAAAATAAAAATAGATATCTCTAAATAAAACAACTAAGTATATTTCCTCCTTGTCATTGTTCTCCAGATGCCATTAGAGTTGCCCTTGGTGCCAGTCTCCGGGGCCTCCGGGAGAGTAAGGTAGGTAACTCCCGCCATGAGGGGTTGAAAACTAGTGTCTGCCAGTCCTGTGCAGCCAGTAAAGGTGCCTTGTTTTGATGACACGACGATTTTTTAAATTTTGTTTTAAAATGCGTTACCAACATTTTAAAATTGGAGATTGCACATCAAAAACCAGACTTCCAGCTTCTTTCAAAAAGTCAGTGTCTGGCAGCACTGGGCCCTCTTTCTTGTATGGCCACAGACCTCGTGCCAGTTAGCCCCCCAATCGGCCCCCACCCTGCCACCCACCTGCTTGTGTAGGTTCAGAGGGTGGGCTCGGCCCCCTGCCCAACTCTCTCCCTCAGTCTCTTCCATCCTTGAGGGCAAAGTCGACACCATATTTATGACTGGACTCTCCAGTCCCAGCACAGTGTCAGGTGGGAGGGGGCTCAGAAAATGTTTGCCAAACAAAACCCTCCCCCTCCCCCACCTAAGATGCTGCCCCAGCTCCCTAACTGCAGCCTCCCTCCCTGCTTGGGGTGCTGACTTGTGACGGATTTCTCCAAGCCCATTGGTCTCTGGTAACAGCAAACGGACCAATAAGGGTACCACCTCCTCAGAACACCCAGCCCTGAAGCTCGGACCTCACCAGTGTAGACAGCTCTAGCACCAAAAACCTAAGGAACAGAAGAGCTACGCTTCAGGTGGTTAAGGGCAGAACCAGGACCAGGAACCTGCCCTCTGACTCCGGTGTGCAGGGGCTTCATTGACTGCAGGTTCCATGCCTGCACGGTCCCTGATTCCCTATTTACCGTGAACTTCTGAGTGGTATGGGTTTCCACAAGTGCTAAATTGTATTCGACATTTGGGAAACACATTTCACATAAATTAAAGTATTATCATTTCTTTCCTAAAAACCATGGCCTGATGTGACCTTTACACAGTCTACACGGTTCCAGTGAAAAATAAGAGCAACTGACCAGATAGTCCAAGCCTCGTAATTAATTAAAAATCAGACGTGATATTCTGAGCCCTGAATCTGAGTAAATTTACATTGCTTTGCTTTACAAATGAGTGCCCTACATAGGTACGGCCCCTACTTCTCTGGCCCTCATGCTTGCTGCAGGGTCCTCTTCCTTACCCAGGAGCCAGGGTGCACAGGAGCCAACCAGGCCACCGTCAGTGGAGTTGAGGACAGAGTCAGGCAGTGGGATGCAGTGTCGCACCATTGCCCCATAGAGCCCATACTCCGCCATCACGCTGCTGCCGCCCCAGCGCTTCTCCCGTTTGCGCCACTTGGCCCTCCGGTTTTGAAACCAGACCTGGTTTGAGGCAAGAGGGAAGCAGAGAGGCACACAGGAGAAGACAGAGTGAAGAAGGATGCTTAGAGGTGTCTGTAGCTCAGGGCTCTACAAAGGACCGACCATCCACTCGGGGTGGCATCTATGACCCAGACCTTTCAGGAGCTGTGCCACCGTTCACTCAAAACTCACAGGGTGGGGTAATGCGTGGCCACTTTCCACTGAGGTTGTCCACAGAGTCAGGAATGACAAAAATCAAATCTAAATATTCCTACATTGTGTAAAGAAGCCCATTTTCCACACTGATGGGAAATAGTTCACCTGGCAACGGCCCCTTCTAATCTCAGGTTATTGGATTGCATTATCTTCATTAAAGAGTAGCATCGAATATTGTTCAGCTGTTAAAAAAGAGTGAGTTACTCTAGTGGCATATCTTCTGACCCGGACAAACGTCTAAGATGTGTTGTCAGTGAAGAGACTAAGGAGTAACATGTGATACTCCTTTTTGTAAAAACAACAAAATTCTACATGTGTGTGTGTATTTATGTATATATCCATTTTGGGGGGCAGATAAATGTCTGACATGGAGATGGTATGTAGAAAGGTGACATCAGCACGTCTATATTGGTTTCTTTAAGGGTTTGTAGTGGAAGGATAGTCATTTTTTTTCACTGATATATCTTTATATAGTTTCTAGTTGCAGCACACATTATTGTGTAGTTTTTAAGAATGATTTAACAAAAGGAAAAAAGGCGTGAGAGTTACCGGGGATATCCTCTGGGAATAAACATAAAGGAAGGTTCTAGCAGTGCGGTGCTTGCATCTAGATGACCCTCAGTTTGCTGTGAAGGGGAATGTGTTGAGCTGTTCAGAGGTGGCTGTGGGTTGACTCACTGCACGTGAGGGTAAGATGTTCTCTGTGATGTCTTTGGAAAGGAGAAAGGGGACCCAAGACACCTGTATTCGGTCTTCAGGGAGCTCAGTTTTCACAGCAAGCCTTTCCCGGGCATACACGTCAGGGTAGTGGGCCTCGCTGAATGCCTTCTCCAGCTCTTCCAGCTGGTGGGCAGTGAAAACAGTACTGCAGGGAGGCCCAAAACACACGTGGGCACATGTCCACAGGAGGCCACAGGCTTCCTAGCCTAGAGGACCCCTGTGCCTGCCTCTCCCATTGTCCACACCCCAAAAGGCCACCTCCTAATAGCTGAGCATCCTACCTTTGGTTAGCCTCTGGAAAGTACAGAAGTTCAGTTCAAACAATACAGAGTTCTTTAGCTCTTTTTTTCTCCTCAATGAATTCCATCAACTCATTCTAAGACCCATTTAAAGACACAAAATTGTGTCTATAAAGCGCTACAAAGACTGTCCTGCAGCCTCCCAGGAACTACAGAAATATGTTCTTAAATGGCTACTGTTCCCTTCCCACTGCCAACCAGTTGGCCGCTAGGCCTGCCGTAACGCAGAGCCACGCATTTTCAGATGCTGAGTCCCGAGGAAGGGGTCAGGGAAGACAGCCTGGCCCCATACCTGTGCCGCCGCCTCTTCCTCCTGCTTGGGGTGGGGGATGCCTTCAGTTCACTCCTGTCTTCAGACGGACTGTCCTCATCTGTTAGCACAAGGAGAAAGAGAGGACTTTAAAGGTGAGCACACTTTTCCTTTTATTTTCTGGATTTTTCATTTGAGGATTGAAGCTATGGACCTGTCAGGAAATGTGAGTATTGACCCATACAAGCTAGCATTTGCAGCACTCACTATATTACAGGTATGGTGCTCAGCACTGTCCATGCATTACTGCAGTTATTCTTCATAAATTAAAAGAACTCCAAGGTAGCTGCTATTATTATTATATTTTTGCAGAGGAGAAAACCGAGGCACAGAGAGATTAAGTAACTTTCCCCAAATCACGTGGGTAGTAAATGATGAAGTTGGGATTCAAACCCCAGACTGTGTGAAGTCAAGGCTACTTGGCCGCTAATTGAATTTCCTAATCCCACTGGGCTCCCAAATTCATCTGCTACCTTCTGCCTCCAACGTCCTCCTCTTAACCAATATACCAGCATTTCTCAAAGGGAGGGTTGAGGTTTGTGACATCAGAACCTCTCTGAGAACTGCACTCCCTGCACCTCTGTACCAATTCCGAATCTCTGGGCACAGAGTGCAGGGCCTCATTCTCGACAAGTGCACCCAGATGACTCATAGACACACTTGGAAATGTTTAGGAGCCTTGCTCCACTATGCTTTGTCCTTCGATATTCATTATATCACAGGCCAGAAGGTTAGAAGACTAAACTCTTGTCAGATTCACTGTTAAAAAGTATATG